GGAATTAAAAACGCTAACTCGGCTTAAGCAACGTTGGAAGCCAATAGATGCAATTTCTACGCTTAGGAACCCGTGCCCAATGCACCGGAGCAACATTATCCAGTCATCACTATAAACATGTCTTGAGGCGTATCGTACGCTCACCACTAGTACGTTGACCGTGCCGCGACCTGTCAGAAAATGGCCTGAGCTTACGTTACGTACTTGGGGTTGAAAGCTTTCCAACGCCTTAAGGCTGCTGCAGGTAACACTTAATTATTAAGTCTTCGTTCAACCCGAATCCCTCCCTTTGGTAATGCGTTTACGTATGAATTATGATGGTTAATTGTATTAGGGAATATTCATGCGGCAGTATTGCTATAGGACTAACAGTTGATGTTTGCTCTCCTATCGTAGGCAAACTCGGTGAGTAAGACACTGTATATTAAAAGCTGTATACATCCCCGACCGTCTTCGGTGAGAGCTACACCGGTGAGCGCCTCAGGGCCACTCGAACTATGGCCATATGCTTGCATAGCGCCCTTCAATGTGGGCGTCATCCGGAAAATGCCACTCCTTTGTAACAAGCAAATCTTCAACCACAGTTCTCCAGATGTTGGCTCAACCTATTCCCTTGTAGCTAGTACAGTTTAATACTTATTATCTAGTTCCGAACTAGGCCAAAATCGGCTATTATACGATTCTAAATCGGGTAGTTGGCACAGTCTTCAGCACAGGCTAACGTCTACAACTTCCCAAAAGGACCGATATTTGTGCAGATGGCTTTTCTTGAATAGGCACTAGTTCGAGGTACTGCCGCGAGCGAGAACCAAGGGCATGGCATGGCCCCATACATAAGTGTAGAATTATAGTTAATAGCATCTTGTTGGCATCAGATCTTGAGCGGAGGGATGCTGGGATGTCATCAAGGATCTGACAGATGAAAGGGCCGGTGCTCCCATTCCGGTTCTTGGCCCGTGGATGGGCAACACATGGGAGTACATGCTTGGTAGGTTTCGTACGAAGCGACAGCAACGACGGGTCAAAATCACATCGACGATCCCCTAGGAGCCCGACTGAAGATAACGATCAACAAAATGCTTAAAAACTAACTAACTCACTGGGGTGGACTAATGTACTATAGGCCCGGCCAGCCCAAATCGAGAAGCAAAGCCGACGTCAAGGCAGGTCAGATCACTCAGTCCAATTACCTATTGAAACAGCAAGTACTTGTTTAGAAGCATCTCCTAACAGAGGTCCGAGCGTCTGTCAACTGAAATCCTTGGAACGGGAAATGGGAATCATGGGATGGCATTTGCAGGGGGTCCTGGTTGTCACATATCTGACGACCAAATCGTATCTCAGGATCATATTCCCTGTTAGAAGTCGGCCACGCCCCCCTGCTGCCCTGCTGCCCTGTCAACTGTCAAGCCCTGTCCTCCTTGTTCTCGCTTATTATTAACTAGGTAGATTACTTAACGCCTTCCGGCCCCGCGCAAAGAACCCTGCGCCTTTCGACCCCCAAAGGCCAAGCCTCCGGTTGCGACCAAGATCGTTGCTACTGTACATTAGGATACAGTACTAAGTAGTATTCTCCCATCGAGTTTGCGAAGATAGGCCTTTTCGTCCGCGTGCAAGGTCTCAAGTCCGAGAGTCCCACCTGTAAGTGTACTATTTAGGAGGTCTAAGATGAATAATAAACTTATATCCTTGGCTGTTATTGATACCTTGAGCTTTTAATAGACAAGGCCAAGCAACTTGAAGGCCTCGATCGGATATCTTAGATGCTACTTGGTGAATAGTACCTGTAGATATCTACCTAGGTATGTACATACACCCTCTAATCCGTACACTACCACGCATTTGTGTGTATGGGGTCCCAGTCCTAACACGTGTGGATCAGAACAAAAAACGGACATGTCAATCCAGAATGACGGGGTGCCTGAACCAAACCGAAAACACATCATTTATGGGTCGGATCCCTGCTTTGGGCATTAGAGCGATCCACCAAATCAATCATTCGCGGGCCGTTCACCCCAATCCCCTTACTCGGTAGGGTAGTAGGTTCTTTTTCAAGTTCCGAGGTGCAACTTGTTTCGTTTGTTAAGATACGAGGACACGCATGCCAGCTAGTAGCTCGCACGGAATGAACCGAGTTACCTTGCGTCCCCATTAGGCGAGTGAGGCTCACTAATGATCGTAAGATTGTCGATATGTAATAAGTTAGACCGAACCCCCAGGGGATTTATCTTACGCACGAAAGGAAAGAAAGAAAGAAAGAAAAAAAGAAAAAAAGGGGGACGTTGCCAAATTCCTCTCTTACTATGTAATCGACAGCGATAACTACCGAGATAGGTAGGTACAGCTTTAAGTGACAGGTAAGGTGACCTATCAAACGCATACGCCGCGCGTCGTCCTGTAACGGCGTGGTTTCTTGACCTGTTTAGGTATTCTGTCCGTAGGGCTGCCGCGGGACTAGGGGAGCTAGCTAGCTCGCCGGCTGTCCATTCGAGACAGAGCCTCTCAGCCATTCGGCGATTCAGCGACTACCGCAGCCGGTGAGAAGCTTCCCGGAAAGCTTTTGATGGGGACAAGAACGCACTGCTGCTAATTTCGGGTTTCCTAAGGCTTTAAGCGGTATGCAGTCACTAGTCACTGGAGAGCCTACAGCATCGATGAAGTAATCAAGGCGGTCTAGGGGCTACGAGCCTCGGGAGGCTCAATCCTTCATTGGACCCGGTGTAGCGCGGGAGAGAACCCGTTAAACGCCATCTCAACTGCCAAGCTCGGGTCGGAAGATTGCCGCCGCCACAGTAAAAAAAAAAAAAAAAAAAAAAAAAGGAGTCTCTTGTAATTGATCTAGAGTCAAAAAGTTGAAACGGGCTCAACCTGCCAACGTTGCAGGGCCACGCATGCAAGATCCTAGACCGCCAACCACCTTTCGTTCATCGGAACCAAGAAACGCCGAGCTTTAAGGAGGCAAGCTATTCGCCCGTTAGTCGATCGACGAGAACTGGTGGTACTGATTATTCCACTCAGTAAGACTTTGCGCGGGCTTAGGAATGACGAGACATCGTCGCTGGTCGCCGTCCTGAGTGCCACTCCACGCTGGTGAATTCCGAGTGAAACTATGTGGGTAGTAATAAGCCTAGTTTTCTCGAACAACTCGAGCAATTTGAGCAACTTCACCGTCGCCAATGACACACCGAGTCGATGGTTTCTAGAACTTGATACCTGCGGGACGGAAGGGTCAGGCTTACGCCGTTACTACTTCGTGACTAAGGGCTGATGCGTGGAGGGTGGCTAGACGTTTGGGATATAGTGCGCGTGGTAGCTAAGATAGGTACGTATGGTAGCATGCAGCATGCACGTGTGGCTGACGAATATGTCGGTCTGTATTGTTCTCCAGCTTGTCGTAATCATTGGTAATGCGGAGCTGGCGATGGGGACCGATAGGAGTCGGGATCTGCTTAGTACGAGGACTAAGCTATACGGCCTTACGACATACATACGTTTTACCGGCTGCAGCTATACCTCGCCAAGAGAAATATCCAAGTGATAGGGCCAGCTACTTGTATGATACTACTGTAGCATGAAGAAGACACATGGAGACCCTGAGGTCGAAACTCGCATATGCACGACGGGGGGGGGGGGGGAGGAGACGCCAAATCATATGATGCTTATTCCTACGTCCTCATGCTCTCCTCCCATGCGTCTCCAAAATATGCAAAATATAAACAGCCCATTACTACGGCACCTAAGACTGTGTCAACGTCATCGACATATTATCAAGCAATATATACTCCCCGATGATACCCCCTTTCGTTCTCAGCCGTTCGGGTTCCTATCTATAACCGGTTCTGGTGCGATCAAAGGTCCAATGATATACCAGCATCAACTAATATTTTCTCTCAGTAGACCACGGCCAAAAGCAAGACCCGAAGTTGGAATGTAATCCCCCTTTTTATGATGGGGAGGCCGTCTCCATGCTGGTGAAGTGTTTCCGGACCTACGATAAGATCCAAACATGGCTTACAGAAGCGTCCCTTCGCCGGCTGGTTTGGTCTCCGTGCTGCTGCACCTAATAATCGTGTTAGATGGCCTATCAAATTAGGTACTTATCCTTATTTAGGTAGCTATGGGTTTTGGGTAATTACGTAGAGATACTGGAGTAAATTGGCCCATTAATACATACCTCCTATACGGACAGTATTTCAGAGTTGCTTCAAGAACATGTGCTGGTTAGACATATCATTGCAAGAGGCTTGCTAAAGATGAAAGCTCTAAGTTCGCCATATAGTTAGTTAACTCAAGTATATCAAAGAATTGCCTATGAGGTAGACTACCTCATATAGATCTATATAGAATAAAATTGATATTGCTATGAACCCATTTTCAACCGGGCAAGTACCTGTGATCTCCTTTCGTACCAATCTCATGGGTCTCCAGAGCTATCAACTCAACATTACATTATTCACGCACCACAATGGCGATAGACACGCTTTTGTATATTCCCCGATATAGACATTATGATGGTATTCTCTTAATCTAAGTACCAAATCATCCATTTGGCCCTCGCAGTAGTATCCAGCCGTTGAACTTGAGAGATGACTGGCGTTGCCTCTTACAGCGTCATGAAATTGCCATGAGTCAGTCGTATCCAACGACAAAGAAGCCTCCAAGTGTGAGGATTATGTTTCAAGTTAGCCTATTCCCAGATCGCTGCCGGCAGACGACCGCCAGCACCTGGCATGGATACCTGACGTGGTTATAGCCTCAAGAACTATCTTAGCAACGAGCAAGTCGAGCAAACAACTTAGTCACTCGTCTTAGGACTCCCTTATATTTAAACTCGCATTTTTCACACATACAGCTTTGTAAAACTCAAACCAGGTCTCAACGCCTTGCATCTCCAATAAGTCTACTACGTTGGTTCGACCGCGATGGCTCAATCCACTAAGAAAGACGTTGGCGAGCTCGCCAATCAATTGGCTAATAACCAAGCTGTCAAACAGCCTCAGCTAACGACCTGTCAAAAGACTAAGGCTACCGAAGAGCAAACCGATGCTTCCTCTTTCTTATGCATGCTAGAACCTCTTTCTGGCCACAACGTGATCCTCGATATGACTCGATACTTCGCTACTCAGATCCACCATCTGTCCCAAGAAAGGGATAACCTCAAAAACCAGATGGCTGATCTCACGAAGCAGGCAACCGATATACTGCTGCATCTACAGGAATCCATCGATGCAAACAAGCCAGCCATACAGCCCATTCAGCACGCAGCAAAGCCAAGCCCCGTTGAACAGACCCCCCAGTCTATCTCCAGAACCTCAGCAGTCCCACAGCTCGATCGAGATGATATCGGCCGGTTCAACCCCAGTCACCTTGACGAGCGGGGCGCGGGCATGGTGACCGATGGCTGCACCTTGGTCTTTACCGACGTGGACCTCTTCGTCGAGCACATCGAATCTTTCCTGCAAGACCCTGCCACAGCCGCAGCCAACGAGAGGCAAATCTTGCAATGGCTCGAGACCCTACTAAACGGCTCGGCAGCTATGTGGTGGAGCCACGAGCTAACCCGCGTCGATCGACGGGCCCTTCGACTCGCGGGCCTACCCGAGATACTAGTGGACTTGGAACGCCGGTTCCGCCTCAACCCGGCCGTGGCAGCAGTCAAGTTCGAGCATGGCAAGCTGAGTCTCCGGGAGATTGCCTTCGACGAGAACAGACCGATGCAATTCGTTCGAACGAAGCTGCGATATGCGAGAGCGATGGAGCTCTTGGATGAGGATAACACCGAGTGGTTGTTTGTTATGCTCCAGATCTGGTTCAGTATGGACGTCGAAGTTAGGGCGGTTTTAAGCCCTCCTTCTCCGTCGCAGACGCTTGACCTCTACTTGGAGGAAATCAACAAGACAGCCCCGGATCTTATGGGCCGGGCGCTGAAGCTTCACTATTGATCTGGGAAGATGGATCGTTAATCAAATCCGACTATCAAACTGGAGGTTCAAGCAATGAGTCCACCGATACAACCGGTGATGAGCCAACAGTGTTCATATTGAACAACAAGCTTTCAATGATATAAACGATCTTATCATCGCAACTAAAGATCACTTTCTAACCCATTCATCTTCGGCATTTCACGTATATTCCAGAGGAACAATTTGCGACAAACTACCTACCCAAGGGACCTAGATATATTACACAGCATCATCATATGCTATATGAGGTACCTAATCTGGCGGCGATCAGATCTGGAGAAATTAGATACTTTCCATAGTTTCCGATTAATTATAATGTTTAATATATTTCCCAACTTACATACAATGTATTATCACGTCCGTATTCAAGAACTCATCAACCGCCTTGGAGGATTCCGTTATAGGAGCGAATATCGGCAACGCAGGAGTTAAGCTTTTCTGCTACGGTCGATCTTTAGGAGAACAAGCTTACCACCCTCGAGGACTCATTTAATTTCTACAAGTACCTCGCTAATAGCGTGACTAAGATAATATATAGTTCAACGAGGCTCTAATAGACGAATGGCAATCGAAGCTAGGTAGTCAGAAGGTTTACTATATCGTCAGGGTATAATAAGGTTACCCCGTAGGGCAGCAGCTAGATACCAGATCTATATAAGAAGGATACACCTCCCCCCTATTCTTAAATGGGGCATGGGTCAATACAGTCACCAATACTATAAGCTAAACTCCTGGCTCTCACTCCGCGCAACACGATCCCTAACATACAAGGGAAGCAAACATCGACAAGACTGCCTTCTAGCACTCGAAAAAAATAAAAAAATAAAGTAATTCCCCACGATAATAGTACCTTTACTCGAAATATGCTTATACTTTTCGCGCATACCATCGCAGACCCGAATCTTCACTAAGCCATCGCAATTTCGCCGCCCCATAACAAATCTTCGCGAGAATAGACGAATCCGTATCCATATACCAACCCACCAGCTCCACTAACATGACAGTGACGTGTTCGTTTAAGAATGGCCATCATATCCAACATTCTCCAAATTCCCTAGACTCGACCGAGAATGCTTTATGCCGTCTTCCCAAGTCCAGGACCTACAAGATAATTGTCACATCTAGGACATCTCACGACGACATAGAACTGTTCGCTCTTGCCTAAGATCAAGAGTACAGGCCTGCTATGAAGAGGCATTCAAGTTATATTAGTTTCCTCTGTATAATACGACAGCATTGGAGCTTGCTATCTTATTTCTCTTTCATAATGAAGCAAACCGCCAAGCTCATACAAATTCCTGTTGCGCACAAGGGGTTAACATAATTATTTATATTTTCCAAATAATCGACTTTTATACATATCACATCATACATCCTGCATTCTTCGTAGCATAATAATCATCTCGAAGAAGATTCATGAACATGACATGGCCTTCTTCCCTCGTTTCATTTCCCACGTATAGACGTAGCAGCGTAACATATTAAAGAAACCGCTATAGCGCTTCTCCGATTATATTCCCGATAGCGCCGCCTATTTCGCCGAAAAGCACGCCCTTGAAGATGGACTCGCCCATATCCTCGAACCAATGGCCCGTCTTCTTTAGGCGATCCTTCCAGAGCTGCTGTTCGTCGGGGCTTAGGTTTTCCCACGATGTGGCGGGGCCGTGGACCTCTTCGTCGTGGATACCAACGTGTAGAGGGGGCAGACCCCGAGGGTCCGCTTCCCCGGTTTCGTCATGTCGAATCACGAGCGGCTGGGTATGATGTGCGTTAGCGTCCAATAGTAAATCCTTGATCGACTTTTCGTTGGTCGCGGGGACTTTGCGCAAGGGCTGCGTCCACGACGTAGGCAGATAAGGCCTGATCCCGAGGACGGGATTGCCGATATCTTTCGCCTCGAGCAGGACCTGCCCGATCAAAGCAAGGAGAAGTATCACAATTGTAACAAGTGCGATAGGTGTGACCGGTGATTGGCCCTTAGATTTCAGCGCAACTACGTAGCGCGACGGGCTTGAAGGCTCTCCATTTTCTTTCGCGACAGACTTATCAACATGCTTTTTAAGCGGTATGCTGTGCACTACTGTCGTGAAACCGACACCGACGCTAGCCAGCTTGACGGTAAGTTCGGCGCTCTCTTTTGACGCTGATTTTGGCGGCAAAAATGGGGAAAACGAGAGCCCGGTTATATTTGAAGGATGAACACCTTTGAGCACTTGGAAGGGCGCCAGGTCTGCGAGGAGGACTACCCTAGCAGCGGATTTATGTTCTAACGTGAAGAGCGATATTGAAGCATCGTTCCCTGCAACCGCGACTACGAATTGGGTCTCGCCCGTCTCATCCGCCGGGGACGAAGTTGGCGATAAATTCCTCACTGCAAGGCCTGTTGCCTTAGAGACACCCTTTGGGAGCCTAGCTTTGATCGTTAGACGAGCATTATCTTGCTCTTTCGCAGGCAGGCGGTAACCATGTAGCGCAACTCCCTGGGAGTTAGGCTTGTTGACTACTGTGATCAGGAAGCCAGGTGTCAAGTAGCGCAAAGATTTGAACGACGCCTTAGCTGTAGCATCTTCATCTGGGGTAATAGTATATACGCATTTGGGCTCCGATATTTCCTCCTTGGATACTTCGACGGTAAATATTTCGTGATCGTCGCAATATGCCAATTGGTATGTGTCGGGCCCCGTCTGAACGACGTCTAAGTCCATTGCTTCTTTAGGGATATCCAGCCTACCCCTCGGTTTCCACCTCCCGCCTCCTTCGTATGGTACATCGAAAAGCGCAATCTCGGGTTGCTTGGACAGTCCTGTGGCGGCGGCACCTAATTGTGGGAGGTTTTCGTACGGGTGGGACAGTCGGAGGAGTCTTTGGTAGGCGCTTGTATCCTTATGCACGAACAGCGCATGGCGCGCGACCTCGGAAATGGAAACCCTTACACCGCTAGTCTTGGCCGATTTAGCGGGTTCGTCGATACCGAAAATACGAAAATGCTCATTCTTCCCCTTCTTAATCTCTTCCGGGCTTGAATTGACGCCGGCAAATACGGTCAAGGACCTATCTCTTCGAGGACCGATGGCGAGTGTCGTGACGTTGTCTTCGGTTTTGCTAAGTTCGAGCTCGGCGACTTCCGATAGCTCTTCCGGGTTAGAGGTGTTGAGAACGGTCTAACATATCCCCTAGTTAACCCATCGAAATACAAAAAGCTGGAGTATGATTATGTGCGATTCCTTACTATTTTATTCCCCACACCATTTCGTCCAGGGCCGCCACCTCCTGCGACGACGAGCTGGTTGGGATCTGTCGGGTCGAAGTCGCATGAATAGAGGGGATAGGTGAGGGTGATCTTCGCGGTAGGGATGTGCTTCGCCATTGTCGCAGCGAAGTTTGATTAACTTGGTAGAAGTAAATAGACATAGACTCCTGGTTACCTTGGCGGATTAGGCGACATGTTTAAATGAACATTATGAACAAGAATAATAGGTAGGTAGGTTACAAGCTTTTGGCTTTGATGACGAATAGGTGTCTCTTAAGTTAGGTCTTTTAGTGTTCTAAAAAAGCAAGGCAAGGCACTCGGGGTAGCTACCAGCTTGCCCTGGACTTTTCAGGTAGGAGAAACCCTTTTTATCTTTTAGCGGCAAGAGCCGTCACAGCTGCAGCCCTGCTGGAGAGAAGCTGTGGCCGCAAACAGACTTCTGCCACGTTTTAAACCCGGTACGTACCTTTTTTCTTCTTCCGTTCATATATATTTCTTGCAGTCCTATTGGTGATTTATATTCATACATCTTATTGAAGCACTATGAGCCTGGATTTATGTGACACAGAGACTATTAGAATCAGCATACCTCTTTAATTCTCACCACATAATAAGAGGACCTCTTGACACTTATCATTGTATGAGCTACATCTATTTAAAGAGTGATTAGCTATCCCCTTGAGGGTAGACGTCACACCTATAGGATTCATACCTATAACTAGGGTAAAAGCAAACTACTAATACCAGCCATTCGGTTTCTTCTAATAGGCATACTACGTATACTGACCCCAAATAAACCCTTCGAAACAACAAGGGACTATACAAACGCAAGTACTAACACGCCCCTCTCCTACTGATCAACCACCAACACAAATACATAATCCATCTATTCCTCATGCCTCACTCAGTACAAAATCATACTTCACCGTCCAGCGGGCCTTCTCGTCTCCCTCGCGCGGCTCAAAACTCACCAGCAGCTCATCCTTAACGGCGAAGACCGTATCGTCTTTAATATACACGTCCTCGCGGTCGAACACCTGCGTGGTCAGGGCCCGGAACCCCGGCGCCGTTATCACGAAGTGTATGTGCGCAGGCCGGTACGGGTGGCGGTCGAGCAGCTCGAGCAGGCGCCCGGCGGGCCCGTCTGGCGCGACCTGGTACGCGGACGGGCGCACGCAGTATACCGCATACCGGCCTAGCTCGTCCGTCTGGAAGCGTCCTCGTAGATTCATGTCTGGCTGCGCTGGGTCCTGCTGCTCGTATAGCCCGTTCGGGGCCGCCTGCCAGATGTCTACGACGGCGCCTGGCGCTGGTTTCCCCGTCGACGCGCTCAACACTCGCCCCGATAGGTGTGTTAGCCACTTCTCGGCTTGTAGGTACCAGGATGAGTCCGGCGCTGTGTATATGATGCTGCTGCCGTTGGGCAGAAGCGGCGCATCTTTTCGGTAGAAAGGCCCGAGGACGGTCGAAGGCGTAACCGCCCCAGATTCGCTGCTTTCGAGGAGCAATTTAGATGTGATTTCGTCTACGAGAGATTCTAGGCCGAGGATATCGCATAGCAAACCCGTCTCGTTACGCTTGTCGGTAGACATGCGGCCTGCCTCGTTTATCTATGATGATATGTCAGCAGTCTCTTGGATTTCTAGCCGGCGCCAAGTTGACTTACTAGTTCAATGCCAGCCATCAACTCCGCGACTGTCAAGTCTACGTCCCGAGCAAAGTCGTGTAGGTGCCGTAGAAGGCTTGGCATGATCTCCTTTAGACGAGGATGGGCCTTCGAACCCGTAGCGGCAATGACATTGTCTGTGAACTCCGGGTCGTATTTGGCTTTCGCGGCGGCCCCGTCCGTTCCGTTTTCTTTCTTGGTAAGCACCATGTTGTAGCACGACCAATCCCACTTGTCAATCCGCCGACTATCCAGTAAATATGCAGCAGCTGTTTGCCGGTAAGTCAACCATATGCCCGGCCTAATAAGCTTGCTGTACTTACCTAGGAGGTCTATAGAGAACTACGTGATCTAGATGAAAGTATATCCGAGAGGAAGCAAATATCTAGGGTTGGATAGACTTGGAACGTTTAAAATATACTTCGTTTACCGTCCGTGGACGGGAATTTATACCTACGAACTGGTACTCCCAAACACACTGAGAGTAAGAGAAGAGCCGAGTACGACTACACGCGTACATGTAGAGCAAAGCTACACGAGCAGACGTGGTGTTCCTCAAAGAGTTGAAACCGGGGACTGATGCCTAGTGGCAAGGGCCATCCCCCCAATTTTTGCCATGTCCCCTTTTCTTTTTTTCCATCATGACAAGCTAACATCGCAAGTACCCGTCAAAACAAGGCGTCACCAATCCATATCCTAAAACCAGGGCGACTCTCGCAGAATAGACTTACGAGTGGATGATAATCCGCGGCTGAGCACATATGGAGTATGGTTAGATGCAGGACAAGAATGTCTAGCACGAGCCCTCTTCATGGCCTCGTAGAATTCTGAGTAGGTATTAGGATGTAGTCAATGACGAAAGCAACCTCCGTCCCACATATGAAACCAGACACGGCGGTCAGCTATCTTCGTCATTACCGTCCCACCGTATTGATAACCTGCTCATATGAGCGTTTGAATGCATCATCAACCATGTCGTGGTCTCTAGCTTGTTTGGACGGCGTCGTCTTCCCACGGAATGAAGCTCTTTCTTATAGTCGTAGCGTTTTACTGTTGGCTTATACTGTACCATGTTGCATAAGGCGCAGCGGGACGGGCCGCGGTGGCTTCAAACCCTCTTTACATATGACTCCGCTACCTCAACACGTGGTAATTTCCGGGCCGCATAATCTGACCATAATTGTGCTATTCCAAGCCGATGGCAATCCGACGATATACCACTCACGATCTTCTACTTAGCACTGAATCTATGGTGAACGAAAGGTCATCACATAAAGGAGACGGGTGAGCCTAAGCTACCATAACTAAGATATTTCTAATTATTACAGAGAACTCATTATATTTGAACTTCTTATATTTCCCATGATTTCAAGTCCCTAACCTAGATCCGATAGAGAACCCCAGCTAAATCTAAATAATGCTAATTAGGTACCTACCTGGCCACTCTCCCTTCTACTTCTTCGGCCAAGGCACGGGGAATCATCGACCAACTCCTACCTATGTATACATACCCTACCTACACTATGCACCTCACGCTTGACCGAGAGAAACAAATTATAAAATACAGAACCACGGTTCACAGCATCATCTTCTAATCCGTCTTTACACCCTTCTCCGCACTTTCAAATCTAACCTCTGCATCCCCGTCTTCAACAGCTTCCTCATCTACATCCTCCGTCCCCTCGGTCGTCTCATCATCTGTAGTCCCACCGCCCCCTTTCAGTAACCCCCTTAAATCCTCCTCGTCGATGATACTCTCAATACTGCCTCTCCTGACCCCTGCCAGCGTCTCCCGTCTGCCCTGCTCAATCAGCCGCTCGACTTTCAACCTATTCCCGATGAACTTGAGCTTCGGGAACGCGCTCTGCTGGCCCTCGTGCAGCATGCGCGCTAGCCTATCCATGTCGGGGTCCGATAGTATGTGCAGGAAGTCGCTGGCATGTGTCCGTGGCCAGAGCGTAATGGTCCCGCTGAATTGTTGTAGCCAGACTTGCGACCAGTCCTGGCCGAGGGGCCGTGGGAGGAGTTCCAGATGTTTAAGGACCTTGAGCCATTTTGCTAGGTCTAGTTTTACGTACTGTTCTGTTGCGGAGCCTAGGTATCCGCCACGCCAGCCGCGGCCCTTGCGGTGGGTTACGGGGGACCCGACTGTGCCTCTGGACGAGAAGAAGAATAGGGATATGTGCGGGTTGACTTGGCTGACGATGGTGAAATTGACGTTGAAGTGTAGATTAAGTGCCTTAATAGGTATATCCGTCCGCAAACTGCCGTCTTTCCACTTGTGACCAAACGAATACGGTACCAGCGAGCCATCTGGGTTCTTCATCATGAGAACTACAGGATTCTGGATCCCGGGAACGGCGGCAGATGCTAAGACGGCAGACCAGATGACGCAGTCGGGCGACGTGAGGTAGTTGCAGAGGATGGTCGGCGAGTGTGGATCGGCGGGAATGCAACTAACATTGAGTATCCTTCCCGTGCGCTGGTACGCCTCCCTAAACGTCGTCGACCCGCGGGACCACCAACTACTCTGGCGCGCCCATTCGACGGAATCGAATCGCGCACCCGTCTTCCACCATCGCGGGAACCAGGTGCTGATCGGCTCGGAGCAAGCTTTGATCTTATGCGCCAGCGCGGGCACTAACAGCTGTTTCAACTCGTCGTTAGTCCGTGTCGCTACGAGAGATGCTACTAAAGCGCCGCCGCTCGTGCCTGTAATGACGTCTGGTAGTAAGTCTGCGTCGAGCAGCGCTTTGACAACGCCGAAGTGGTAGTATGCGAAAGAGGCACCGCCAGACAGACATAACGCAGTGCGTCCGAAGTTTGCGTGCATTCGTTTGAATATTGCCCGCTTTTCTTCCAACGATAGCTGTTTGGTATGGACCAGGAAGCGTACGCTCTTCTCCACTAAGTAGTTATGTTAGCTTTACTATATCAACGTGTTACTACAGTTATGGGCTTCAGAAAGGGGGCCTAGCGAACCTTCATCTACGAAATTTTGAACCAAGTTTTTAGTCCCGTAATATGTCTGGCTGTAAAGCCTGGGATTCTCTACTCCGACAAAGTTATTCTTCACGCAGGCTTCCGTCAAAGCCTTCAGCTCTTCGACCGTTTTGCGATGTTCACCCTTCCCAGATACATCCCCCTTTTCATACCCAGGCGCACCCGCCAGTTTTGCTTCCTGCGCCTCGGCAGCTTTCCGATGTTTGCGGAGTTGCTCCCAGACGCGCCGGACCGTCTTGGAGTCGTAGTACGCGAACTCGTTTTCTTCCTTCCATTGCGAATTTCCTAGGAACGAATCCAGCTCTTTGGCCGCCTTGACCCATTCCTGGTAACTGCTAGCAGCTCTCATGTTCTGGCGCAGCTTTTCCCGTTTCCCTCTCCAGGCGATGAAGTATTCGTATACGAAGATGTAGAACCGCGTCCATAGATACGATGCGGCTAGTCCTATAATCCACATACCCACGAAGAAGAGGAGCGGCCATTTTAGCAGCCCATATAGGTAACCTTCCCGAGTCTCGTCTACGGTGCGACGGCCTAGCGTGGTCTTTTTCCTCTTCTTTCTGCGACCGTGTTTAGATACTTTTTCGTTCACCGGAGCCCAGTCGTTCTGCGCCGTGATGAACATGCCGCTCTGGGAGCCATTCTGGGTCGTGGCGCCCTCGGGAAAGGGGGCCGTAGTATCGACAGATGCTACTGAACCGGACCGTGTTAGCTCCAGACTACCCGAGCTTCTTGTAATAGGGCTTTTCAACGACGCGGTATCATCTGTTACGCCATTTGCTGGTTCGGGAGCGTTCAGGGCGGCAGCGAAAGCGGCGAGGTGTTCGGGTGGGAGAAATTCGCGATCGACGTCAGGTAGTCTCGTGTAATCGAAAGCTTCAGGAGGGAAGCCATAATTGTGATGGCGCCTACCAGTAAGGAAGGTCACCTTAGGTTTAGAGGAGGAGGAGGAAGGGGATTCATATGCCATGCTCGCCGTCTTGACGTGCGATGCCAATGGACATGATTATAATGATTAAGGGTGTGTAATTGTATACTATAATATGTATGCAACGGCGATCCTAGCGGGATTAGGGAGAGAAAAAGAGAGGGTGAGTGTGTACCTCGGTTTAGAAATAAATAACGGAACTCTGTATAGCCACCAATACATCAAATATGTACATGAATTAATCTCGCGAGTTACAACCTGTGGCACCTCAAAAAAAGACACGGGAAAAAAACGAATGCCTCCAGTCGCAGCATCTGGGGTGGAATGACATGTATTAGGTAACTTGGGCGAAATGACGTCGAAGCCCGTCCCGCGCCGCGTTGTACACTACCATGTATGAATGATTTCTATTGGTCCGAGCGTCGTTTGCTTTATGCATCCATACAAATGTAGGTTAGGTAAGGTACTCGGGTACTTTGGAAACTGTTGAGCTGAAAGCGCGGAGACATCCGCTGCACGCTGCAGCAACGTTATATTATTCTAGAAGAATCCCGATAACCCGCGGTTTCTGGCCACGCCGAGGTCTGGCTGTGCCGTATACACCTACATATGTAATGTATGTCCATATTCTGCACCGATACTATTGTATGTCGTGCGACGTCGACGATATCAGAAATAAGAAGAATTGATTCTGAGCACGCTGGTAAGTACCTAGCCATGGTACGTACCCAGCATGTACTGTATGTAAGTAACCTGAAAACCCCCTAATCTGATTGGCCCATAAAAAACGACATTCGCTTATTCCGGCCAACCAAAGTTGACATTTCACGGGTTGAGTGGATATTGAATATCTTTGAGGCTATTCAAACTCCATATCAGGGTTTAATTTGCTTTGATTTAATAACTTGGCCGATATTCCATGAATACGGCCCAAATGCCAAAAGTGATCAACCCCCTTACCTTCGAGCTATCCGCGTAGCCGTCAGCTAATTTCCCGGGGGCTTGGGTAATGAATGAGCCTCACTGAGCCGCATTGGACACCGGCTACCTAGGTACTCGGAAACTGTTAAGCAGACTAATATATTGGGAAGACTATCGGGACCTCGGCGCCATCTAGGTTTAGGTAATACTGATTTACTTACCCTGCGTGTCTATAGAAGCTCCTAATGTCAAATCAGGTACTCGTAATTAAGCCGTCAAACCCGAGTCAGGAGCTCTAATAAGCCTAGAGATTATGTTGATAGGCGACTAATAAAACCAAAGCTGATGATAGATCGCCAATGCAAGAAATAAAGAAATAGTGCAGTAATACGGGTTAACTCGATTTTCTGAACAAGCCGCTATATATAAAAACAAAATAACAGTAGAAAACTTCTTATTCATAGATGTGCAAAAGACCCAAGAACAACCAACGGCACTCGGGCGGTGAGAAGTGGGTAATGCTCAATTCATTATTGCGATCTGGCAAATGCCTCTAGCCATTGACTCCAATGAAATATCCCGGAAAACATCGAACTTCGGTATGGTAGTAAGGTAGTATGCTGTCAAAGAACTCCGGTTGTTTCCCAGACGGCCATCGCATCGTCTCAATTCGCATGCTCGTCTCGTCCCCTGATCTCGTCATATATCGCCACACGCTACTCTCCCTCCTTTTAATTGCCGTCTAGACGTACTGGGAAAGCCATCTTATACCCTCGCCGTATCCTATCAGATGTTAGTTTTGATCCTCCGGAACTACGTCGGAAGCGAGTCTGGTGCGACGAACCTTGCCTCATCACCACGGAGCACATGAAGACCTCAATGGGCCGGATTCCCTCCAATGGGACCTTGCCCTTTCCAGTCGTCTGATACAAGCCCAGTTCGTGGCGGAGCTGGTCCTCGGACACGGCATTGGGGTGGTCGATCTTGTTTCCGAGGATGACGAAAGGGACCTTGGCGAGCTCCTCCATGGACAGAAGGGCGTCGAGTTCGGCCTTGGACTCGGGCAGACGCTCGTGGTCCATGGCGTCGACTAGGAAGACAATTCCGTTGACTTCCGGGAAGTAGTCCTTCCACAACCGACGGGCTAGACGAGATCATCCTGTTAGTCGAAATTTAACGTGTCATAACGGCGCCGTAAAGCATACCTTGCTGGTGACCACCTAGATCGAAGGTGGTGAAGCGCACGTTTCCAATCGCAAGTTCTTCGGATGCTAGCGTAGTGTTAGTAGACTGACACGTGCGCTCAACAATTATCGTATAGCCATAAGCGACATACTGGGATGTAGGGTAGGCTGTAGGATGGCAACTCGGTCATTCTATAATTCCATATCGTTAGCCTTCCCATCCATGATAAAAAACGCAAGCTCCAGCAGACTCGAGAGGTTGTCCGGGTACGATATAGGACACCGACTCGGGGCGCGGGGAGAAACGGAACCACCGACGAACCTTCAGCATGTGTAGTAGAGTCGTCTTTCCCGCGTTGTCGAGGCCAAGGAACAGCAGCTTGGCATGCTTGTTCATCAGACCAAGCGACGAGAGGACATCGTAGACTACAGACAAAAACGTCAGCCATGACCATCCATTCCGAAGGATCGGATCGTTTTGATAAGACTCGCGAGCTAGGAAGGGAACTAACACCACTGGACAATCCACATCTTGACAGTATTCGGTAGCTGTAATTAGACAAAAATAGTCGAGTTTGGTAGACGTAAGGGTGCACTCTTGAATCGAAGGTGTGCTGTCTTCGTAGGATGTTCGCGGAGATGGGCGGACGATAGGTGAATGATATAAGGTCCGAGGCCGTCCCCAAGAAAATTGAATGATGTTAAGGACAACCTGGAACCTAGCACTTGCGGCTATCAAGCCACATTCGCTAGCCACATATGGCTAAGTACACACCTAACCTTAATGTACGTACATAAGGTGACAACGTGTACATAGGTACGTACCCGCCCATGCGGATTTATGGAGCCACATATCAGACTCGAAGAAGACAATGCGGAAAATATTCTGATAAAAGCCACCTGATATCATCATAATAATGACATAAGGTACCTAGGTAAGCCCAATCGAAACTAAGCGCCCTTCTCGCAACTGCTGATATGGGCATACAGTATAAACGTGACTTAGTACATCGCAAGTTTACTATGAGCATCAGTAAAAGCCATGATTAAGCCGATGTTTATCACGAATACCGGTGACGGTGACACCGATACTCGCTAACAACGAACACATCCCGGATGAAAACTGCATGCAGATGCAGTATGCAACTTCTAAAATCCCATCGGGCTTTGGCATCATTTCACAAATCTATGTACTATTGCGCGCAAGATCGTATCTAATGTAGACAGTATGAGCAGAGCAGTGTATACTATATTGAATTGCCATTCCCATCAGATAATCATCATCATCATAAACTATTTCATCCATTTCATATCCAAATGCACGAGCAAACAGGCAATCATGTGTCAACAAATATGCTCAATTTCAAGTATATAACCAGATCGCCGCCGCCGTTAATGCCTAATGTGCCGTTCCCAAGTGGTATCATGAATGACCAATGCTGCCCGCCCCTGTGCCGTGAAATGCGAAGTATGCATTGTCCTGCGAGAATATCGACCCGCCAAAGTTCATGAAGAACGAGAGAAAAATAAAAACTATGTACAATAACGGTCTCAGCACCAATGATACCGAGTCCGTCTATAAAACAAAAATAGATGCAATGAAGGATTATAGTGAACAATGCAATCCTGCACTCAGTAGCCGTAGCAAAGCCTCCACTAGATGGACAGGACGAACTGGTCCGGGCCTAGCTTCCCAGCCATGAGTAATCCGATTTCTCGCATCCTCTCGGCGCCCTGGCCAGGCTGAGGCTTCTTCTCAATAACCTGGCCTTTTCGCGCCTTGTTGCAGTGTTTCTGAAAATACTTCTCCTTAAATTTCTCTTTCCGGCGCTGGCGCTTCTGTTCGAGGCCTTTGACAATGTCAATCGCACCTCGTACGTGACGTTTCGTTGTAGCGCCCGAAGACTTGCCCGGTCGACGATGGCCCTTGAGATGATGCGGGAACATTGCAGGAGCTCGTGGGAGTGACTTGGTATGCGTCAATCCAGGCCGAAAAGCAAGAGTCTTGAATTCATGCCTTCCACGGTTCGCATCGTGAACCAATGATGACGGAGGGGACTGTACCACAGGGCCTGGAGCCGGTGAGACCAGTCGACGAGGTGAACACCCGTCGAAAAGACGCTTGGGCGACCGGCCTCGCGGCTTTGGGGGAGAGTGGTGACGCTTAGGTGGAGGAGAATGATATCGTCGAGGCGATATCTGGTCGATCTTTCTTCTTCGTCGCTCAGCACCATTCTCAATGTCATACGGGTCCTCAGATAGGTGACCATCACTCTCGCGGACAGGGATATTAAGTTCAATATCCTCATCTTCCGGCTCGGACGTCGGGAAGCTTGGGTCGATATCTTGAGGAATTGGATGAAGCTTCTCGCGTCGCCTCGCGGCTATGCACGAGATATAAGCATCCTCTAGCGCACGGTCCTCATCGAGCGTACCACAAACGAAATCGGTACTATCGGGCAACTCTGGTGTACCAGGTCGCATCTTAATCCGACGAGGCTTCTCTCGTGATGTCCTGGTCGGGGGATTGGGCATATCGGAAGACGATGATGAATCAGACCGGTTACCCGTCATAGATAGTCGACGGAAGATAGGCGTATTTCCGGAGTTTTGAACCGGACCACGACTAGGAGTCCACAAATCCAGATTCCCGCTGTCATTGTCATCATCAGAATCAGCAAATCCGATTTCGTTGTCGGTATTGTAACCATCCGAAAAGTCGTCGTCAGATCCATAGCCCGACTGGTTGTCGACCTCGTACCCGTCGTCTATCTCATCTTCCTCTATAGTCTCATCCGGAAGGTCTACTTCGTCCTCTTCATCCTCATCCTCTTCATCGTCGTCATCGTTTAGCTCCTCCGCCTCTTCATCTTCCTCCTCTTCCAATTCTTCCTCTTCGGCTTCTTTTCCTAACCGCCGAATCTCATTTTCCTTCTTCAGTGTATCGTTAATAGTTAATCGACGGCCAGGTGGTGGAAGATTCAGACGGATCCAATCCTCCTCTTGCGGCTCGTCACTAGCAAACTCATGAAAACGAGAAGACTCGCTATTCAAATCATTTGGGTTCGCGGTCAAATACTTGGCCGACCGAACTGGCATTGGGCTTCGCGATGACGGCCGCGGGGTTAATGACCTAAGCGACCGCCCGCGTGTAGCGGAAGACGACCGAAGCTTACGCACAGTAACAGGAGAACCATTGCTTTCCTTCAGTGATGCAATGGCTGAGGTGAGTACGGCCTGCTGCGTATCTTGCTTCGGTGGTGTCCGAGGAGCTAGCTTTGCAGGACATGCAAATTTTATGCAAGATTTCCTCTGCGGCTTCTCGTTTACTGGTGGCTTGGACTCAACTGACTGCAGAGATGGTGGTTTCGTAGTATCGGATTTTTGTCCACACGCGAATGAAATGCAGCGCTTTTTGGTCAAAGCTTCTACTGTAGGATCCTTTGGCAACCCATTGCTTCCCACTGGCTTACTCAAAGCGGCCACATGCATGGGTTGTTGGGGGTTACGATGCGGAGTAAATTTGGGTTTCGCATCGAAATATAGGTCCGTGTTCAACCGTGGAAGTGATATTACAGGTGGCGGCGGACTGGGTGTGTTTGTGCGCGCGGGGCTTGTAAAGCCAGTGTCGCTGGTAAGGTCGGCAGTAGATGCGAGGCTGACGTTGCTATTCATTGAACGTCGCCGTGATGAGTCGAAACTCAAATTAATAGTATCCTCCTCTGAATGATGAAGGGCTTTCGTTAGAAGAGATTCGGAATTATCCGCTGTTTTTCGTATGACACTCCGCTTAAATTGGGTCTCCGGACGTGAACGTCTATTATCGGGAGGTTCGTCAACTTCAGCCGCAGCCTCGTCTTCCGGTACATGTTGCATGCCCGCCCCACGCGCGGCGAAAGCCAGCAGATTCGCGCCGGTCGAGTCGTGAATTAAATCGTTCGCCATACTGACGGTGATAGCAACTGTGATTTCGTATACACGATAGGAACTTTGCGCGGTTCAAAATCCTTGGATGTACCGTCGGCCAATTGGTACGTCTCCAAAGTACGCCTTCTACAGTCCCTTACAGCGTGCTGTCTTAATTTCGTAAAATGCGGTATTTATGGTAGAAATGTGGCTAGTTTAGAGAATTTTGTTTAATGTTTTCGTTGAATATTTCGGAGGCTACAGAATGCAGACCAAGTCCCCAACAAGAAGATTTGTGGTATTTGTCCCTAGGGACCGTTTCGCTATAATTGTCGTCCCATGATGTCGCGAATAGCATTCGAAGATTTGACGAAGGGTTTGAAAGGGTGAAGGGTTGTTTCGTATCTGCTCCTAGGGAAGCTCACTAGGTAGAAAGTGGCAGTCGGCGAAGGTAAGGCGACGTCTTAAGTGGGTGGCAATTGTGTTGAGTTGAAGTATTGACTTATGACTCCGAGACAGAGTAAATGATAGTCCGTCAGCAATCAAAAAGATGATCTCCCTCAAGCGGCAGAATAAAATTGGCTCAGCTGAGCATAGAGGCTTAGGAGTCTTGGAAACTCTTGGCCGTCACTAAAATATGACGTCGAGGCTTTGCCGTTTGCCGTGTCTGTGTGCTAAGGGAGACGTAGATGAATATTGGTTGAACGTAGTACCAAGGTCGGATCGCAAATATCTGAGAGGCAGTGAGTCCCGACCCTGAACCCTAAGGACTCAACGACGGGCTACTTGGGAAATAAAGATTCTCAGCAGAAGGTGGGAGAAGGAGGCAATAGAAATAGAAACTAAAAACCAGAAACTAGAAACTAGAAACTGAGAATTCAGGAATCGGGAATGGGGAGGGGAAGACCCTATGAGGATGAACCAAAGGCTACGGGATCTGGTTCTGCGTTCTTGATGGTTTGTTTGCATGTGGATACTTTCTAGGAACTGTGGGATACTACACTAGGTAGAATAAGTAGAAAACAGGTACTAGGTAAGTAAAAGAAGAATTTGATCACCACACGGCGCAACTCTAGAGCGGTGGAAAAAGTAAACGACTGGGAAACCGAGAACCAAGCTTTAGAAATAGTCGGTATGTGCAACTTAACTGGTTCTAAATTGTACCTAACATACCATGTATTGTACATAATGAAAAAAAGGCAAATGGCGACTTCCCTATCAGACGCTCACGGTTGTACTAAGATGTAGTACCTAAGTAGTACCGTACCTGTCATTTGAGTTTAGTCAGAGCTAACGAACGAACCACATAGCGAACATTGAACCTAGCAAAAAAAAGCCTAGGACTCACGGTACCAGCAGAGCACGTACCGTGACCCCGTACTCCGTGCGTGACGACACTGTGGGAATGATTGCTGCTAGTGGCGGATAATGAAGGCTTGGAATCTTGGCTTTGAACGTGGATTACGGGCGGGGATCTACGAAGACTGGGTACTCCCCTGTCCTTTTTTGCCTTTTCAATTCAGTCTTTTTTTATCGATGCAGCATCAGCGCCAGCCCGGCAGCCATTCATCACCGAGAAACCCCCGGTCAAAACGACAAGACGAGGCGGTCGTAGGCGGTAGGTAGTAGGTAACGTGTGTCGATGGTACTTGCTTACATGCCTCTGACTTACATGTATGTACATGTATTGAATAATTACCACATGCGCCTACACTAATGTACATACATATCGTACGGTGCATATATACCTATGTAGGTATGTACATCGATATATTAGTGTATGTACCTAATGTACGTATGTATTACTTGCCTTTGTAGATGATTTGATTATTGCGAAATAAATGAATTGGCGACCACCTAGAACTATGCCGGATGAGTAGGCCGTTTACATCCTGATTTCTACGGTAGCATTTCCTTTCCCAGCACAATGGGAATAGAATGCCGATTTCGCTTTTTCCTCATCTAAATGTATGTACATATGCATTATGACTTGGGCTATTGCTGTACAATTGCAATACATTGTACATAACATATCATGGCATAACAAAGCAAGCGTGGAGGTTGTGCGTGGAGGTTGTGCGTGGAGGTCGTGCGTAGTAGTACAAGGGGCCGAGGCCGCTCTTGAAAGAAAAAAAAAATGTCCGGGCGCATCTGGACCTGCAAGTAATCTCCCTTATTTTGTTAAGCCGTAGGGTACATGAACGCCGGGCTGAATATCTACAGATCCGTATGTTCTACGCGATCGCCGGGCAGTGAACCACTTTTTGAACTAGCAATTTTTTTTTTCTCTTCTTCTTAATTTCGCGCACCACGTCGCTTCGATTAGATAGTGAAACTCGTCGGCTATGTACATTAACAGTCTAGTTGATCTAAAGCAATGCAAATTTCTTATTTGCAGGCTAGAAAAACTTTTTCATTGTTGGTCTGTCGGGGAAGAATAATAGCATCATCCCCTTTTTCCATAAACCGCTCATATTCTTTAAGTTCACAGTGTCCGTGGCCAAGCCCCTATTAACAGGCTATTCATTATAATGAATTAATGCGAATAATAACTTGTTTTTCGTTGTGTGTTTGTTTGTTTGTGTGTGTGAGCATTCTTTTAATAAATGGATGACCGGATTCTTACGACATCCTTTTTCCAAAGTGCTTCTTATTATTGATATCTAGAAGACTCTTTAATCAAGATGCAGATGCAGATAAAGAATCCGGATGCAACCGTACATGAGCCTGTCGTCTAACCCACCACCCTTTCGCTTATGCCGAAAGTTGTGTAATGATACTCTCAGCAATCTCCTACCGACTAACTACATACTAATGTAGGTAAAATGTAGGTACGCCAAACCTAGACGCTTATGTGTATCGTATCATTGCATAACCCCCTATATAAAAAAAGGGTTGGTTCGCTTCGGACAGGCGGTGAACTCTCAGCGCTTTACGAGGTCTTAAAAGTTCTTCTAGCAAGGTCTCGTCCCGACTCTTCCCAAACCAAAGTAAACAGATCCTGGGAAACGTAAGACGTAAGATAATGAGCCCTACGAGGACGAAATAGTTCGTCACAGAGAGGAATATGTTGTACAGTGCAGGACAGTATGATACATACCAGATCCGTTGCCCCGGCTCTACGCAGCATTGTGATTCGTTGAGTATCGATTCGACATTGCCCTCCTGGGTCCAGCATGACATTTGGTACCGTTACGCAGCACGTCTGCAAGCTGCAGCACGCAACCTAATTTGGGCCACACCCGCGGGTACTCGGGACAATAGAAGTATATCGTCAGTGGCATGGGGGTTTCTTCGCTTGCCTCATATGTAACTCTATTACTCACACCATCATGCTCTCTGACATCAGAAAGAAATGTTGGACCACCACTAGGGTTTCACCTTATTGTGTCGTCGTTGATCTCAAAATCAAATTGGAGTGCAGCTTTTGCAAAACACGTGTTAGTTTTGCGCTGCTGGGACATGTGAGACTTTTGGGTAGTCGACGTGATGTGTTTCTCCAAATCCCATCGACAGTTCCGCCAATGAAATGTGTGTCGTTGGGCAACATCGTACGGCGTATAAGACGGATATAGACCCCAAGAATCCCTCTTTTAAGAACGAAAGGGGGTTGATCTGCTTCAACATACGGTTTGAGGCACGCTCTTCATCGGCTTGCTGTCTTGAGGGGTAGCCTGACTATATCTTGCGATATCTATTCGCTCCTCTCAAGATTAGCTGATGAGTTGAAGCGCAGCCCAAGCTGCAACCGTTCTGTCCATCGTTGCTATTGTCGCTCTGGTCACTTGGTGATCAGACAGTAGCGGCGGGCGATGCCTAGTCAAATTCGTACTTGTGATCTTGCCCTTCCTGCTACGGTAAGGAGGATCGAATCCCCTCCCTCCCACATTCAGCCTAGCATGTTAGATCTCCATAGTAGTACACTACATACGTATTCCGTAGTATGTATGCAGATACATACTAGCTTCGAGGACCCCGCATTCAAAACTGCCCATCAAGCTTATTCGTACTACTAAAGGCGGCATCAGCGCGTGGTAAAAAATACTAAACCTAGCATGGCCAATTCTCCGTTGACGGTTCGCGTCTTTATTCCTGCTGTATACATGGGTGAGGCGTGGCAGGGTCCAAATCCTTGTTTGATATACTACTATGTGCAGTCTATCCCCTCACTCGTGATGTTTGATAGATGTGTGACATCCGCTTAGATGTATGTAGGATCCTCCAGGGTCTCTACTCAAATCCGCAGTTTTAAGGGTCATCATTTAGTCTAGCGATAATTTGGGGGCCTCGGCCTAGTTGAGTAACATTAAATAAGATGCTAGAATTAGACTCGGAAGCATAATGAACCACAAATCAAGCAATGATGCAATAGACGGAGTTTCAGTAAACACCTTCTAATAAATTAGCGCGCTAATGAGAATGCATTATTTCGCAGCCTAGCTACGTATTTAACCTAGGCATATTGAAAGCTTGAGTTGTACAGAGATTCATTGATCCTGGCATACAACTCGAAATCAATTGATGATCCTCGCTTGGCAGGGCAGAGTTCGCTTTAACGAGACTACTTTGTTCAGAACCCAACCCGCCACGTTTTGACAGCGATGTCACTTTACTACCTAATGTTTGTAGTGTAGAACAAGCGGCATTATAATTAACCGGTGTAGATAGTAGATATCTTAACCATGAATTCTATCGTGCATTCTTGGGTTATTTCCGGAGGTTCCCATGAAACAAGAAGTAAGAGAAGTAATTGGCTTTTGAATACGGATACCAAGATTTAAGATATCATGCCATCTATTTGTTGTAAGTGATCACTCATGTGCTACAATAAGGTTCCCAGCCAGCTTGAGGTGTGGCTTGATGACTAAAGTGGATCACTCAAACATGTGATTTACTATTCTGTCGACTCTGTCTGTCTGCCTGTCTGTCTGTCTGTCAAAGTCGGATGCCTTAAAGTCACGTGCTTTAACCATACCAAATGAGGCTAGACTCAATTCTCTGCCGAAAGCCCGACAACTTCGAAATTGCTTCAAGCCAACGATCATCGTGAGCTTGCCCTGTCGCGTATTCCTCAATTGGCAGCACTAGTCATCATGAACACTCTCCGTGTCGCTCGCGCAGCCCTTAGGGCTCGTCCCGCAGCTATGCGACTCCCTATTCAGCCCCTTCAGCGAAGGACCTACGCTGAAGCCGCATCCGACAAGGTTCGTCTTCTCAGTCGGTATCTATTCTTGTGCTAAGTCTGTTGCTAATTCTTGCCCTAGATTAAGCTGAGCTTGTCCCTCCCTCATCAGGTATGAGATTTAACCCCGCCGTACCGTATCATCCTCGAAATATTACCATCGAGGACACATAATCCTAATTACCGCACGCTACAATACAATACAATACATTATAGCTGGCTAATTCCCGCAATAGTCTATATACAAGTCCCAAGATGTTGTCCAAGTCAACATCCCTGCCGAGTCTGGAGAAATGGGTGTTCTTGCCAACCACGTGCCTTCGATTGAGCAATTGAAGCCAGGTCTGATCGAGGTTGTAGAGGAGAGCGGTAGCAGCAAGCAATTCTTCCGTACGTAACACAAGAAATACGGTACCAAAATATAGCTTTAAATCTAACCCTATAACAGTCTCCGGTGGCTTTGCCGTCGTGCAGCCCAACTCGGTTCTAAGCATCAACGCTGTCGAGGGATACCCTCTTGAAGATTTCAGCGCAGAAGCTGTTAAGGCACAGATCGCCGAAGCACAAAAGGTTGCGAACGGTAGCGGAAGTGAGCAGGACATTGCGGAAGCCAAGATTGAGCTAGAGGTATGTTATAGATATATATACAACCATATATATATAACCGTTCGAATCTCGATCAAATGATTGCTAATATATCCACAGGTTCTGGAGAGCTTGCAAGCTGTTCTCAAATAGATCATGTCTTAGAGAAAAGGGGAGAGAAAGTTAAATGGCAACCTGTATATCATGAACATGCTCCATATCACAAAGCCGCCTAATAGCACGAACTGAACATGCTTAAGGTCTACTAGACGTTATAGTACTTTCCGCTATTCATATCAGTGCTTGCCTTATTTCTTCCTACAGCTTCCCTACCTTTTCTCGCTAGGGTTTATAGTTAAAACCTTGCTATTTCTATACTATTTAAGTCTACCTTAGGAGTCTACCTTAGTAAGTAAGGTAGGTACCTAAGGTATCTACATCTAACCTATGCCTGTGGTCAACCTAAACCATCTTCCTCTCAACCACCACGAGTATATCGAATATTGGTTATTTTATTATAGTGGCAACCCACTGTCGTGGCCGACTCCTGCTGTTAGTCATAGATTTAAGATCAACATCTTAGCTGTTAAACATGTCGACCTGCTCATGGGGTGACCCTCTAACGAGTACAAACGTATCCGCTGCTTACGAACCAGCATCGTTGGCCCAAAGAATCATTCCGAAAGGAACTGTTTCATCGCGGATACGCCGGCTTCACCGCCTTACTCATTCCCACCATGGTCTACCGGAGGACTCCGAGTTTACAGCCCGAGAACGAAAATATGTACTGATTGGCTAGGGACAGCATTCGGGTTCATATTTTCATGTTGCGAGACCATGGCTTGGTCCTCTTACATATTCACTCGCAGGCCTGGAGCGTGACCGGAGTGGCCATGATCAAGGCCCTATTATTACAGTCAGTACCTCTAACTTGACTGAGAATGTTCAGGGGCCTGCAAAATCGGGCCAGCATTATCGTCCGAATTACTCCAGCGACTTCGCACTTAGTAGTCCAAGGAATGATATCACAGGTCCGAATACCCGACTGTACCACCCCTCGGCATTTGACGACTTGATTTCGTATTCGAATTTCGGACCCCCTCCATCGGCAATCCAATCCCTAGAGACGCCACAATATATCCCCTTAGCATCAAGGGCCTCGAGTGCGTCGACAATATCTCAAACCTCACATCTAGCTACTGAAGCCAAGCAACGCCAGTCTGCCCGTGAACTGTTTGAGCAGCATGGTATCAGGAGGCCAACCGGTTGGTTTTCTGATGATGATGAAGACCTATCTCTCTTAGGCGATAGGACTGCCGGCCCCCGACGCTTCTGCAGAATCTGCCACGTCTGTTCTACGCGAACTTGGTCGCAAACTCATTGCTTATCTTGTCGGCATCGTTTATGTGAAAAATGCCTATGTGAGGTCCCTAAGAGCACTGAAAAGGGGCATAAAACATTTTCGCACAACCACAATCACTCTACCAGGCAGGATAAAGCACAGTATACTCAACCAGCCTTATCGACCCCGGAGCCTGTGCAATTAGCACAGAAAGTATCACGATCGTCTAACAGGACTAGCAATAACCGATCCGCTCAGCATACGGTCTTACATCAGCCATCTCATGCACATTATCAAGAAAATGCCACCGCTAAATTACGGCCAGTGACTTCGAAAAATATAGGCAGTGAGAAGCCAGCACAACCCGCGGCACTACCTACTGCAACTCTTGTATCAGGGGGGCCAGACTTACCACCGGGTTTGCCTGTTCGCTCAGTGAAGCAGAATCCTTTTGTGGTCGGTGACAAGGAGAGGGTAGAATCAACTACAGAATCCCACGTTCCTGAGCCATTAGCTATTCGACATTATCATTGCTACAGGCCCCAACTGCAGATAGGTGGCAGGGATCATGAAGTATCTAATAGCCATGTAGAATGTGATAATCCCATGTGTAGAGCGACACATGCCGGGCATTACCCGTACCGACATAGCATCACTTGTGCTCTGCACCGAAGTGAAGAGGTCGAAAAGCATGGGGGCTCCCCCAGAGAATCACTGGTATCAGACAACCCTTCCGTCGCTCATCCACCGAGCCTACAGTCTAGGAAAGATACGTTACGACCCCCATATGATACAATTCATCGGCATCATTTTGCAGGTCTCCAAACGCCCTATCATGTTGCAGAACATATTACTAGTGGCGCTAATCGAGGAATTCGGCACCTACATAGTAATCGTTCGGGTAAAGCTGTCGATGAGGCTGGATACGGTATCACAGGCCAACGCCAAGAGTTCAAATCTATCGAAACCGAATGTGCTTCATACACCGATCGAGGATATGAGAATAGCCACGATATTGCAGACAATCATGCCGTGACCAGGGGCGAGGCTGCCAGTAGAGCATATACAGCAAACACGGCGAAAGGGATTGGACCTGACGCCCGAGGTAGGAAATCTTTACCAAAGAGCCGTGTATTCAGTCCACCATCATGGTTACAAGCGCCGAGTAAAGAAGCAGGCGACGCTCGGTCTAGGCTACACCATATCGATGTCGGAAACTACGGGCGTTCGTTACACGTTGATGTAATGAACCTAGAGGGAGAAAGGGTAAATCATTCACAGAGTCTAGTTCATGGACCAAACCCTGAAAAGGATTCGTCCAATATGTTAACCAGCTCGAGTAACGATTTCTTACGGATTTCTGCTCCTTCGCCTCCAACAGCTTTGCATATCACGCAACACCAAAGACCAGAGTCCTAGCAGGATCATTCTTCCCAACATTTGTCGTCCAGAGCAAGCTTTGAGGCAGATACCCATACAAAAACTTCGCCAGCGGAAAATCGGCGGGGATCCTCGCATGACAGACGCCGTCCAACACACCTTCAGGTCGAAGATACTAGATACTCTCGAAATACATATCGTAGCCCCCCACTCGCTCGTTCGGATATCTCCCACTCGCAGCATAGTCTAGAGGGTTCCAAACGCCCTCGCAGCTTCGTGCATGAACAACCTCGGATTCAATCCAGCGATCCTGAAAATGGACGTGTTTATCTCCGAGATGACACCCGTACAGTACGCGAGAATGGACGTTCTCCATTGAGTACTACGACTCTTGCCAGCCGGTCACCTCTGCAGCCACGACAGATCCTACGTGATATGGACGAACACGGAATGTTTGAAAGTAGGAGTGCAATGCTGGAACCTGAAGATAGAGAATCGTCTATCACAATCACTGGTGCAACTTCGGAGTTCGAAGTTCACCGGCCTAGTCCCATCCCGCCCCCAAACCACGATTGTAGCTGGAAGAGCCGCTATCTAGCACTGACAGCTGAGATTCGCTTACTGAAAGCAGAGCTATCTACTAGGGCTTCCCTTAGGGGGGCAGATATTGATTATGCAAGACGGGCTGACGAGAACATCGCGAATGAGGAGGATGACCTGGGGATCGAGGGGGTCACGATTGTTATGCATTTGAAGGGCAGGGATGACTTGGTTATTAATACGGACTTAACCCAAACAGTCGAATAATACGGTATTTTGAGGCTGAACACCTAGGCGTTCAGGGGGGGGGTAGGGAGGGAGAGAACGGGGTCAAGATACTGGGAGGTTCCATTAATGAAGACGGGGCCATAGTGGTATACAGGTTACCACTCAGCGGCCGTTGGGTCAATCGTCAGTCGTCATCGTTAGACCAGTATTCGGCTTCCATGCAACCTTTAATCAACAGGAATTAATAATGTCTAGTGGTTCTTGCCGGGAAACTAGGACTGTTAATTTCGACTACAGAATTGAGTAGTGTTACTTCAAGCCTTCTTGCAAACCCATTTTATGCCCTAAAGATGTCGTAGTTTCATAGCTCTAGCCTTTCCTACTTTACCTAGGTACACCTACCTGTATTGCTTAGTTCTTCGTCCTAATGTTCATCGAATCCTACTGCTCATGTATCAAGTTCCTCTTACGGCCAGCCACAGTATGTATTACGTCTTTACTTATATATAGAACGACCGTACGAAGAGTCACTGACAGCCAAGTAATTTTCCAATGTTCGTTCCTTCATGTACGCCGTTCTGCCGAGACGATACTTTCGGATTGGGTAATATGTAGGTAGTCATTCAAGATTCTGTTTATATATAGTGGAATGGGCGCTCTTGGGAGGAGGCGTTATGACCGTGTGTCGGATACGGATTAGGGGTATTGCTGCAGTGTAGGTACTATGTGTGACGTGAATTCATGACGAACATAGGCTTGTAATCTCGATCTATAGTTCTACGGGGAGATGGGGAGATGGGGCTGAAGGGACGGGACGGGACGGGACGGTGCTTAAGACATGGGGAAGTGGTAGATACGTTGTTGTGCTGTGGAAGATGAGAATGGTGAGAGCTGGTTGGTTGTATCGTAGGGACAATATATTCTGTCTAAAATGAGTATTGTCTTAGATGGAGATATATCATGCCTAATATAATCACTTTATTGCTAGCTAGGCCATAGCTACCTATGTTTTCCGTACAGAGCTGAAGATGTTAGGTTAGGTACCCATGGCTCTATATTAGATGCTAGAACCGTTCGTTCTCGTATTAACCCTCTAGTTAATTTATATAAAGTGTGTCACGGACTTTTTCTTAATATCGTACCTAGCCAGACCTTAGGTGGCTTGGGATTCGGATACTTCAACTATTTCGAGTGATGTATATGCCGAGGTATAACATACTGTCTATATTAATGACATAACTCACATCGTACAGGCTCAAAGTCCACTGACGTACCCAAGCTAAAGCTATGACGGTTTGCGGGCTCGTCTAGATTTAGATTTGTCCCGAGAAAAAAAAGCCTCAATATCCCTTGTGCCAATCCCAACGTCCTACGAGAAGCAGGGACCCGTGTTCCTAAGCGAGTTTGCTCTGGATACCCGGAATACCTTTGCATTTTTGGTCTAGACCAACTTCCCGTGCGGTTGGTACGAAGCAAACTGGTCTAGTGTCACTATCACCGTATTTCCCGTGTCTTATAATGAAATATTCTGGGTTTACCCTTGATGGGCGTGCTTCGTAAGGTATGGATTGTGTAATGGGCATGGTGTCATGCCGTTTAGTGTCAGTATATTGTACTCATCACGAGAGAAATATAGTAGATTCTCTATTATATCCTGGTTTGAGCTTTTGGTAGCTTGCTTGTTTGAACATCAAGTGCTCTATGTCTTGAGAGAACCCTCCCCGTACCTGAGATACCTACCTGGGTATGTTACCGCATAGTAGGTAACTCTACATATGCGGTACAATGGAACGGGCTAGTAAATACAAGAACACTACTAGGAGCTTAGAGCGCGGTACAATCTTTGATCGTCTGGAATGACACCAACTAGGTAGCAAATGCTCTAGAACGCTAGAGACATGGTTCTCTAAACAGATTTCCAGCATCTCGACGCCAGGTCTGATCACGGCAAGTGATTGCGAGAAACTTACAACGTTGGGTGGTACTGAGACAGGAGGTTGTTTCGGTAGCCATGTAGACGATCTATTTCCGAATGCAATTTCATGTTGGAGGTCAACCATCTAAGAGATCGGGCGATTAAGGAGGCATCAACAGCGTCGATACGAATCACACCTCAGCTCCCTAAAATACCCGACTCGAAGGAGGCGTGAAGATATAAGCAGAGTCGGGTCAGAAGTCATAGTGGATGGTCGACTCGTCTCACCTTCAGACATGCATAGGATGAGACCTAAAATTGTGGCGTTAGGACAATCATCATGCGAACCTAACAGCCTGATCCTCGCGCGCTTAATGTGTCCAAAGTAAGCTTTACCGCCAAGTGGGTAAGGATCATGTCGAATTTACGTTATAGTCTGCTTGCTAATGCGGGAGACAAGAGTTTGGACCAGAAGTACTGGATGAGAGATCATCTTTGATAATGCCAAGGCGACGTCCACGAGCAATAAGCTTTGCCAAGTTGCCAAGATGCCAAGATCATGTCCATCGGAGGCGGGAAGTAAGCAATTCTTGGGATCCTTGGCGATGAGCGCCGAGACCTGAACAGCAAAGATCGCGGGGTAGCTATTTTTCCTTTTCTTCCTCTTCATCTCGGATTCGAATATGATATTTGATATTTGCTTTTGCTTTTCGGGATGTTTTGATGTGGCTAAGCTTTGTGGTTCGCACGCCACACAGACAGAACAGGTCAGGGGGTGTCGCCTTTGTATCGTTGCATCATACCTCGAGAAAAGATGTCTGCGGGAGAATATCAAAAATCAAAGGGCTGATCAGTTCTTACATACCTAGGTAGGTAGGTAGGTAGGTAGGTAGGTAGGTAGGTAGGTAGGTAGGTAGGTAGGTAGGTAGATAAAAATACCTCCTCGTATTTTCATCGCTTTATATGCGCTCCAATAGTCTATGGCGGAGGAGGATGTCCGACTTAACTGGATGTCTATCACACAAATTCATAGTTGTGTTATCCACCATTAATAAATAACATAAACTTGCTGCATTCCTCGCCGCGGGACCATCATATATGTTATCATGTCTTGTAATTAGCGAAGAATGTCCGAATGGTGGTCTATCACGCAGTGCCACCCTACGTACGGCGGCTTCTCCATTCCGGCTGAACAGAACGTACAGAGTTGCTTTCGCCTTGGTTGCCGTTCCGGGTAGGTAATCAAAATTAATCGATGTGGCTTTCTCTCATCCGTCCGGGTGACCTAGGCTGCAGAACTGCGAGACCATCGCGTCCAACCTCATAACGTACAAGTTTATTACAACTCCACGACCGCTGCGCTAAAGCGGACGAAAACTCCGTGTCTGCTGGACGTGATGCACGGCACTTGATGCTAAGAACGTCATGGTTTCTAAATTTGATTGAGCTTTATCCGGGAAATGCCGAATTGGTTGTACTGGTGTTTACGAACATCAAGTTATGGCGAATATTCGGGTGTTTCTTTAGGGTCCGTTATCGACGTGAGAGGTGTGAAGACACTTTCAAAGTGTGGAATTAAATAAGGACGAATGGAGGAATTGTAGCACAGTGCTGGAGTTTGATAGACACGCTAATGCTGAACTACTAGAAACTACTAGATGGTAGTACCATTGCACTGCAAGTGTACTGCAAGTGTACGGATTGCTGCTATCGCACCACTATCACATTTAGGTGGCGCGCAGTTACTCATATGTTGCACAGTGTGGACCGACCTCTCTTTTCTTCTTTTTTCTAGGTCGTACCCTTCTACCCGTCTACTAATGCACCAATGCACCAATGCACCTCCCTAAACACCTTCTGAGACGGGTACAATACATCAGGTTCTTAAGGGAGGCCGGTCCACTAATCAATTGACTTTCTGCCAACCAATCCCGTCGGACCCCGGCAGGCTAGAAGTCACCCCATCTCCAATACCTTTTCCCTTTTCCCCACTTAGCAAGGATTGAATGCGATGGGCGTTCAAGCAAGCGAAGTCTGACCTTTTGCTGTTTTTGCCCACCCCCAAACCAACCGTCTGTTGGCTTCCTGTTGGCTTCCCATCTCCCGTCTCTTTTACATCCCAAGACTTCTGGGCGCCCAGACATCAACCTCGAATCTCAAGAACCGACGAAAATCATCCCCGCTAACGAATCCGAACGAACTATTTGTTTTATTCAGCGTTTAAACAAAAAAAGTAATTGAATTGACGGAAATAATTAATTGGAGGATCGATTGTTGTCGCGCGAGAATCGTCATCTTGGGCGAAGCGAGTTTATACCGCGCACACCGTACTCGACCGACTGACTCGACCACGTAACACGGGCCCGTCGCGTTCTCGAAGCCCTCGTAGGCTATCCCTATTCCATGGCGAATGCCTCGCGGTAGCATCGCAAGTGCCTGAACGTCGTCGCTTAGCGACTGGCCGCTTGTTCGTCCCTCTACGATGGGTTCGCACTACTTTCGGCAGCCTAGGGTGGCTGCTACAGCGACATTGAGTCTCGATGCTTCCTGCACGCCTTATACCATCCCTTCGAGCGGTCTGTTGCACATTCCTGGAGCCGACCCGACGTTTTTAACGGCCAACGCCGTCTATTCGCCTCTCTGCACGCCTACCGTCATGCCCCAGCCCGCCATCATCGCGAACGGAGCCTTCGATTTGGACCAAACATCATCGGATTCCGGTCCTCAATTCTCCGACTTCCGCGATCCCTTTTACGCTTCGATCTTCCCGCAATGCTATGCTCTAGCTGCTACGACGGTTCTTGCTTATTTGCTTCTTATCATGCTTGTTATCGCGCCTCGATCGTTTCTTGACGGTGGGGTTGTTGTTTTAGGCCGGCGTGGGTTCACGAATGGTCCTTCGAATGGTATTAGTATTGGTGGTCGTCCGTGGCTGCAGAAGGTTGCGGCTTTAACCGTAGCTATATCTTTATCTATTGCTACGGCGGATACTTTCCGCGTAGCTGAGAAACAATACGCGTTAGGAATTCAGAATGCACAACAGCTTCAGGACGATGTGCTGGGAGGAACCCAACTGAAGGTCATTCAGCTCATCTCCGATACGTTCCTCTGGCTGGCCCAAGCC